GTCCCCGTTCGGTGCCAGAAGCTGCGGCAGTTGTTGTGTTCTCATACCTGCGGGTCTCTGAGCACATAAAACAGTCTCAACCTGCTGCTCCTCCTTAATGGTCTCGTCTTGAAAAAGCCACTTGTCAGCTTGGGCAGCTCAGGTTGGCCAGCACAAGCCAGGGGTTGGTCACTGCTCTTCAGAAAAGGCAGAGAAATCCCTGCCCCAAAAGTGGTGTGTTCCTGAGGGGTTCCTCCTACACACTCGGGAAATAAAGAAATCCCATCTCAATTGCTAATCAGCTTGGAAAGCACGTGGCTAGTATTTTTATGTAGATATGTTTCCCAAAGGAAAAGAGAGGTTCTGGGTGAGGAGAAGCCCGAGCAGCTGAGACAGGACCCCTGTGACTTGAGAAGCATTTACTAAGAGAGGGATGGGAACGTTCCGTGTGAATCCAGTGCTAATTTACCATCCTTACACACCTCTCAGCTGCCTCCACTTGCAAATGAAAGCTCTCCAGCACAGGAGGACAGCTACTCACACCTATGAAATAGACCCACCTCATTTTCTGTTGAGGTCCAGGTGGATCCACGTTGTTATTCGTGCAGGTTGTGCTCTCCTTCCTGCTTGCAAATCGTTTTCATATTTTCCTAAGCAGACGTGATGTGAAAGAGCAGTTGTGATCACTGTGGTATTTCCAGGGCTGTTGTTTGATCAAAAGGAGACGGGGGATGGAGGGAGGAAGGGACAGAGATGGAGGAGGAGAGGCAGGGGGAGAGGAGAGCCCTCGGCCGGGCCGTGAGCAGTGGCAGGCTCAGCACTGTTAGGGAAGTTGGTCTGATTTTAGGGACTAGAGGAGTGTGAATCCACCAGCATCGAGCTCTTTATCTCTCTGTTGAGAAGAGCTGTGATTCAACACTTAGTAGCTGCTGTCGTCAGGTCCTGGCAGGATTTAGCCACGCCGGGCTGGTATGTCACGAGCTGTGGTCTGTTCTCAGCTGCCCTGATGGGAGGCCTAGCTCAGCAGCTAAATGCCCATCTGCAGCTGAGAACCACTTTTCAGAGAAGATGTGCTCTCAGGGTTTATCCTCTTGCAGTTATCTGCTTGCTGGAAGCAGATGGTGGGATCAGCATTGTTCCTGGATCTGGGATCGATGCGCTGTGTGCCGAGGCTGGCTGAAAACTCCGAGGGGCTTCCACAGACAGAGACTGCTTTTGGGCAGTGAAAGCCTCAAAACGCCTCAAAACAAAGGAGGGCAAGTCACCTGGGAGTCAAAGCCCATCAGAGAAGTGCTATCAAAAAAGATGCATAAAAGAAAGACCTCTGTTTTTTCCTTTTTCAGCAGTAACATTGGTGTTGGGGTGGGATGCAAGGTCCAAGGAGGGGTCTGGGGATCTGTATTCTGGACTCGATGATCTTAAAAGGTCTTTTCCAACCTAAACAATTCTCTGATTCTATTCATTCTTTTGATGCAAGGGTGATCAGATAACAAAGGTGCTGGTGGAGATCTAATGTGTGCAGGAGCAGTGGAAAGTGAAAGGAATTCACAGCAGAATCGAGTCAAAATGAAACAAAGCTGTAAAGGGTGCACGGGGCGAGAGGGCAGCGTCAGGAATTTTCCCAGAAAGGGCCAAAACCAGTCAGAGAATGACTCTGTGCTGGGACAGTGCCCAGAGAGATCCAAAGGCCCAGCTCCAAGACCCCGACTCGGTGAGGTGCTGGGGAATGTGTGTGACACAGGCCAGAAGACATTTCACAGAATAGGGGAAATGGGAAAATGTTACTCAGCCTGAAACATAATAGGAGGCCTGAGGTTTCTGAAAGAATATAAAACCACCTCAGAAAGGGAGCCAAAGGCTCAGCAGGGTGAGCTGGCCTGCTGGGAGTGGAGCTGCTCAGGCTGGTGGGTCTCCTGTAGGTAGGCCTGGCGTGTGTGCTCTGGGACACAAGCACAGGCAGACCCACAGCCTCAGGTTTTTCCAGCCCTGCCGATGTCATTTGAGAAAGGACCCCCTGGGAGGCTGGTGCAGGTCCCTTCCCACCACGTGGCCAGCAGGAAAGAGGAGCCAGACGGAGCCTGGTGCCCAGAGAAGAGCCCGAGGCTGAACGCTGGGGCTGGAGTGCACTCCACACGCAGCCTGGCACGTGGTGCTGCTCTCTGGTTCAGGAGGCTGCGAGACCTGGAGCACCCTGTGGTTCCTTTCCAGCCTGCCCTGGGCTGGTGCATGCCCAGACCTCATCCTGGAGGGGGGTGAGGAGCACGGCTGTGGCAAGGACCCATACCTGAGAGCTGAGAAGCACTGTGTTATAGACATAACCTGGCTTATCAAGATCTGGTCTGAACCTTCGTAAGCAGATTGGAGCCAGAGATCAGCCTGAGCTAGACGGGACACAGCCAAATGCTAGAAGGCAAGAGGAAGAAGAGACCCACCTAAATTGGCAGAGGACCTGCAGACATTTTGTGTTCCTCACGTCTCCAGATGCCAGTGAGGATTTCCAAGATAAACAGCCGATGGACCAATTGCTAGACACTTAGGCAGAAGGTGCAGGAGGCCAGAAACACCCCGTGAAGTTGTGGGGCTTATGGAGGAGCCTGAATGTTGCATTTCAGCTCCTGAACAGGAGTTGGAAAAGTGCTGCTGGGAGAGAGGGAAGCCTTGTATAGGTGTTGGGTCCTGTGCTAGAGAGGAGTGTTTCCACCCAGTTCATACCACCTCAGGCTGTTGGAGCAGGGACTCGTGCAGGACTGAGAGCAGTGGGGGCTTGGCTACAACACCCAGCAGGAGTGGAGCAGCCTGGCTGAGTGCAGCTCTGAGTGGGGAGATACCCACAGGGAGCAGTTACACGTGGCCAGTCAGGACAGAGACTTGTAAAAATCTCCCAAAAGGCCCAAACTCAGCTCAGGAAACAGGAGGGCCTCAAGCTGCACATGCCAGGCTGGGTGATATTGGGTTGAAGTCAGAGCTGAGGCTGCAGCCAGGTGCTGTGGTGCCCAGGGCTGGACGTGGTGCTCGGAGGACCCCGCTCTCCCCTCGTAGCCTTTCATCAGTTTGGTTTTGGGAAGGGTGGCTGGTCCTGCTGGAAATCCCCTTTGCCTTGGCGGGAAAAAAATTGTATTTCTTGCTTGTGGAACAACCTATTCGGCTCCATTTGGCAGGGGTTCACTTCAGAGGAGAGCTACAGGGGAAGGCAACGAGCAAGAGAGGGATTTATCAGCTCTGTACCTCACAGGCACTGCAGGTGCCCCTCCAGGCACTGAGGCTGGTGACTGAAACCAGAGAGGGAGATGATGGGACAAGCCAGACTGGAGCCCCCCCATGGGTACGAGGGAAGGCAGGGGCTGGGCAGAGTGTCCCTGCTGGAGACTGGAAGTGCTCAGCAGAGCCCAGGTGGGAGAGGAACTGACACCCAGCACGGACGTCTCTGTGGCTGGGCCCTGGTCAGTCAGCCCCAGGGCTCTCAGCCTGAGGTGTTGTCCTTTAAAGACGTGGCTCATGTGAAAGGAGTTTGGGCAAGCTGTTTGAGGCACCTGCCTCCGCGGGCAGGCCCCCGAGCCGTCTCTTTGAGCTTGTAGCCAGCTCTTGGACCTCATCTGTTGCTCTGGTTAGAAGAAAAGGCCAGCGAGAGCTTTGCTGTGTAATACAGGATGAATCAAAGGGTGCTTGAGCCTTACCATTAGTAGATAATATCTGGGATGTGCCTTACTAGGTTCATTTTGGTTTGCACGGGGGAAATCTGGAGGTGAAAACGGCTTTCGTGTTAGCACAAGTCCACGGCAAACTGCAGAGTGGGTCTCCTCTCCTCCTCTCCTCCTCTCCAGGAGGCAGCACACGGCCAGCCCCGGGTCCTGCCCTACAGCCAGGGGTGTCCTGGTGTGTGGGACACCCTCAAACTGGAACTGGTGCCAGGGAATGGGGGCTCAGCACCACCCGGCCTCACGCGGCACCGGTCCTGCTGCTGGAGGCTCCACCACAGCCTCACAGCCTTCCAGAAGCTCCTGGTGAGAGGAGAAGGTGAGGGAGGAGAGCAGCTGGGCATCTGCAGAGCTGAGGTCATCTCCACTGAACGCAGCCAGGGGTGCCTGTGGGGTGAGGACAACACTCACACGAGACCATGGTCACCGAAGTTCCACCAACACCTTCTTCAAATACCTTTTTTGGAGGGCAGACACCTCCTGCAGCAAGAAAAGCTTGAGGCTGCATCCTCCATTTGCTCCTTCCTTTTGCAGTCTGCAGGAATAAAAACGCTCTTGCTTCATCCAGCAGATGTAGGTTTGTAAGTGCAGAGCTGAGGGAGCTCAAAGTGTCCTTCAGAAAGGTTTCTGGTATCAAAACAAGGTGTGATTGAAAAAAAAACCAACCTCATTTGGCAACTGTGTCTGCTCTTGAGTAAAGACTTTCTTGAGGGTGGCAGGGCAAAAGTTCTCTGGTCATGGTGGGAAGGCTTGGAATTTAGAAATGAAATGTTGTCTAGAAGATGGGGAAAGAAAACAATGGGTGATGAGTATTCATGGGAGCTCATTATAGCCGAAACACTCAAAAAGGAGGTTCTGAGGTTTCTTTATGATGTCAAAACCGTTGGACATCTCGAGGTTGCAAAATCCTTAGCCAAGCCAAGGGAGAACTGGTTTTGAGAAAAATGCAGCCAGATGATGAAAAAATGACTACAGGAAATGTGATGCATTTCTTGCATGCATTGTATTTCCAAAGTGGGTCCCCAAAGATGGGGTGAAGCCCTACTGAGCAGTGTCTCCTGGGGACCTCGCTGCGATTCATGGCTGCTGATGTTGTTGGGCCCTTGCCTGGGATGCAATCTGCCAGGCAATATTTGTTGGTAGCTATGGATTTCTTTAGAAAATGACCTGAAGCTTACCCAAAAAGGAACCAAGAGCCTGCGATTGCAACCCAGCTTCTGAGGGATGAATTTTTCACCATATTTGGGGACCCAGACATGAGGAGAGTGCATCAAGGCAGGGGCCTTGACGACAAAGTATTTCAGCAGGTTTGTTGGATGCTAGTAAATGCAATTGGAGGTACCCAGCATCCTACAGATGGTGGAGAGGGAGAGCCTGGCTGGTGCTCACAGGGGAAGGCCATTTAGGACAGCAGGTACTCCAGTTTGAAGCAAACTGGACTGTACAGCACTTGTACCATCCCCGTTTATGAGCCTCAGCTTCCCCACAGAATCACAGAATCATCAAGGTTGGAGAAGACCTCCAACATCATCAAGTCCAACCATCCACCCAACATCACCATGGCAATCAAACCACGTCCTGAAGGACCTCCTGAAGGAGTTTTGTACTTTGAAGCCCCATTACTTCTGTCCAACTGTCTCTCTTCTCCTGAGAGCTCTGTGAATTTTTTTATCACACAACCCTGTGCAGCCACGTTTGCCTCGTGTGAAGTCTGCAAAATAATGACCCCAATGTACTATGAGAAGAACAGAGCGGGCAGGAAACCTTGTCTGAGGTGGGAAGGGAAGAGAGAGCAACTCAGCACAGCCCCCAGCAGCTTTCCTCACAGCACACACCCACCCTCACAGAAGCACAGAATCAGTTTAATTGGAAGAGACCTTTCAGATCATCGAGTCCAACCATCCCCCAGCACTGCCCTGGGCAGCCTGGCACAGGCCTCCACAACCCTTTTGAGGATGAAATTGTTCCTAACATACAACCTAAAGCTCCCTGGTGCAACTTCAGGCTGTTGCCACTTCTCCTGTTGCTTGTTCCTCGGCTAAAGATCCCGACCCCCCCCTGGCTCCAGGCTCCTCTCAGGAGCTGCGCAGAGCCAGAAGGTCTCCCCTGAGCCTCCTTTGCTCCAGGCTCAGCACCCCCAGCTCCCTCAGCTGCTCCTCCCCACACTTGGGCTTCCCCAGCAGCTCCGTTGCCCTTCTCTGGCCACGCTCCAGCCCCTCAGGGTCCTTCTTGGAGTGAAGGGCCCAAAAGTGACCCCAGGATTTGAGGGGCAGCCTCCCCAGTGCCAAGTGCATGTAGATGAGAAATGTCCCTAAACAGGGGCTCACCCTTATGGGGGTATTTTGGGAGACAGGAGGAAGGAGCAGCCCGTGTGCTACACCTGCAAGATGTGAAGAAGGGATAATTTTTGGAGGTCTGTTGGGACAGGGGGTTGGTGTTGGGATGCTGCTGCTGACAGATGAGCTGTGCTGGTGGCTGGGAGGCCGGTACACGGTGGACACACGAGAGAAGAGTCTCCTCTGTTCCCTGCCAGGATGAGCACCACTGGCAGAAGTGGGTTTCTGGGGCAAATCCTCCTTTTCACAAGTTCCTGAAGATGACTGCTGTAAATATTTGCTTATGTTCACTTGACATTTGCAGCCACTCCTGTCAGTATGGTCCTGGCCTGGAATGCTCGCTGCAAGCAAGCACAAAAAGGGCATGAGCCCAGCTGAGGTGGATACAGTTTTTAATTTAGGCTCATTTTCATGGTCATCATCTTTCACATAATCATCCTGTTCTGCTGAGAATTAGTGGTGCTCCAGGAGCTTCACCGTTTCCAAGAGTCATTATTTTTTTTTTCTTCTCTGTTAGGAAGTTATGTGACCAGAGCCACTGTTGTTTGTGTCTGCTGTCTGACACTTCCTACCAAAATCCTGCCTCCAGTTGCCTCTAACTTAATCAAAACTTAACGATCTGGCCTAGAAGCTCCCACAGCAGTTGTTTGCCTCTGGCTGCTTTTATATGGCTATTTTTTTTTAAAAGTTCATCTGAATCAATTAAGCTGTTTCCAAGAACGTAACTAAAACAAAGTGAAGTTTTGTTTTCCCCGTGTCAGAAAACAAACCTGCAGATGCCTTTTTTCCTAAACGCCGTGGAGCAAGATCCTCAGACTCAGAGTGGAGCTGGGCTTTGGGTGGGAAATGTGCTTTGTGCCTTTCACTCTGAAAAATGATCTAAGGGCAAGCCTTGAGGAGCTCTGGCTCTCGCTTGCCTGGTAGTGACAGCTTTGATTTTCACACCTAAACACACTGCAGATTTCTGGGCACGTTTCCAGTCAGGTTGGAACTTGCTCTTCTTACAGTTTACCCCAGGAGATGGCTCAGCCTTGGTCAGATCCAAGCAAAGTAGGGGAGCACCTTGATGTAACTAGGCAGAAGACAAGCTGAACCTGGGGAAGCAGCAGAAGGCTGGGAGGAGAAATCTGGAGGTGGCAGAACCTCGGTCTGAAGCCTGGGGAGCGTGTCGGATGGTTCAGGACTGGGTGGCCAAGACACAAAAGTATTGTGTGATGTGGGGCATCTGGGAGGCTGAGGACAGCAGGACCTTCACCTCCACGCTGACACACACGAGCCAGTGCCACTCCTAAAGCTCAGGCTTGGGCAGCTCAGAGTGGCCGTGGTGTGCTCCGGGGTGCCCAGTTTCCCCTCTGTACATCAGCAGCAGTGGTGCCTGGCGCCACTGGGCTGCTGTGGCTCTGGCACCTCTGTGTCACCCCCTGCACAGTGAGAGGACAATGGGGAGCTGTTCACTGGGATATATGTTCACAGTCCAGGATATATGATCTAAAGACTCCGGAAGCAAGAAGTACGTCCAGCAGATATGTTTGGTCCTGCTTATCTCCTGCTGGATGTAATTGTGGTGCTGAGTGTGCCAGGGCCACCTGGAGCTGGCAGAGGCCACCAGTGCTGCAGCACTCTGGGTGCCATCTGCAGCCACAACAGCACGAGGGGAAAACAGCTGCTCCTGTTCCATCTGTCCCCTGAAAAACGTGGTCCCAGGGTGGCTTTATGAAGGAATCCAGAGGTGCAGGTGGTGGTGAGAGATCTACACCTTGGCCACCAGTGGCCAGACTCTGGTAACTGCAGTGGCTGAGTGTCTGGGGAACACGTGCAGGACAGACAGACGCTGTGGGAACGCAGCTCACTGGGTACAGGCACTCTGGGGAGGGGAGGGAACCACAGAGGTGGAGAAGAAAGTAAAGGCCAAATTCTCTTGGCTCATGAAAAACCCGCTTCTGGTTTGGGTTTTTCCTGCCCCTGGTGACAATTAGATGTGTTACAAGGTGAGGTAGTCCTCACGTGAAATGAAATCCCCCTTCCCTTCCCTGACCTCGGAGTGCGTAGCACTCTGAATCGCTTGACAAGCAGAGCTCACCCTTGGAGAGATTCTTTCACCAGTAAAAACACACTCCTGGGGGTGTTTGCCTGGCTCAGCACTACCTAACGGCTTCTTTTTCCCTTAAAAACTGTCATTTCCCTCCATCTCACTGTCCTCAGCTCAAACTGCAAAGCATAAGCTGCTGGCTGCCAGCACTGTTCACTCCTCACCCACCAGAGGAACCTGAGGCACGTCCATCCCATTTCCTCCCAGTGCCTCATTATCAATGAACCTCTGCCTGGCTGCTGCTGTAAATCATCTTCATCCCTCTCCTCCGTGCACCGTGTGCTTGGGCTCTTGCACAAACCTCTCATCAGAGTCCTTGGCCAAGTCCTGTAGTGCTGTTCTGACTCCTTGATAAGCTGGCAGAACTTCACAAAGGGGAGGTTATTCAGCTACAACACATGTATTTTTATGGGTGAGGAAAGCCTCGCACTTCAACCATGAAGCATGCAGAATTTCCCACTATTTTCCTGGGCATCAGGGATTTTGTATTGTTCAAAAGACTCAGATGAGCCTGGCTCCCAGGAGAACATGCACCTTCCCTCTGCTGAGACAGGGAGGACGTGGATCCAAGTTTAACTGGAGCTGAAGCACGCGCCTCGAGCGCAGGGCAGCGGAGGTGAACGGGGCCCTTGTTGCATCCATTTTAACTCCTTCTTTGGGGAGACATCTAAGAAGAATGGGGTGTCCTGAGGCATTTAAAGAAATATTTGTTTAGACTGTGTAAGGGGCAACTGGAGTTTGCAGGCAGGTCACTCTTGGACGGATTTTTCTCTCTTGCCCTTTTCTCCCCAGCTCCCGTCGGCATGCTGGGGTTCACGGCCAGGCCACGCAACCCAGTGGGGTCCCCCCACACCTCACAGCAGCTCTCGTGGTCACTGAGACCCTGAGGCCACTGTGCACACCCCACACTGCGTGGGGGGCTCATGGGCACCGAGGATGACAGCCTGGGGCTGGCAGGGGTGGACTCCTCTTGGGATTCCAGGCTCCCCCCTCGGCACCAGCATCTCCTCGGCAGAAGGACCCCGTGGGGCTGCAGCACCAGCCCCATCTCTGGATCATGTGGAGATGATGATCTCCAGAGGTCCCTTCCGACCCCCAACAGTCTGTGATTCTGTGATCTCGTGACCCCATGGTGGGGAGGTGTTTTGAAGTGGGTGACCTGAGCACTAGAGGTAGGAGGAGATGCAGATGCTGGGGGAAGCCACCCGCTGCTGCCAGGCTCTGCTGTTAGTTATTCTGCCTTCCCTCTTGCTTGGCAAGTTCCCAGTATGGATGTGCTGCCTCTGGCTTCAGGTTGTGATTTTGGTGCCTTCTTTCTGCCGTTCAAAGCTAGTGCCAGTTTGCCACCCAGCCCCAGTGACTGCCACTTGGTGGCTTTGGTAGCCAGAAACCAAATTTCTTTCTTTCTGGAATCCTAAAAGACCTGTTCAGCCTTGAGCTTCACCATGTGCCGTCACAATGGAAACGAGTTTCAGCCGTGCTTCCAGGAACGGGTGGGTCTGGGGAAGGCTCAGTGGTTTCCCCTCATCTGGGCCTTCCCTTCCTCATCAGCTGTAGAGAACTGAAGAACAGCAGAACTATTATGGTAAAGGAGCTGACCCAAACTTTGGCCCCGTGTTTAAACTCAACCCTTTCTGTGGTTCAGTGAGGTTCAGCCGACTTTGGGTGTTTTCTGGTTTTCCTCCAGCTCTCCCATCACTTTCCCCTTTCCAAGTGAAAATGTAGCACCCAAATCTCCCTGTGACTCACAGCACCATGCTTGGGTAGTGATGGGGCTGCTGCAGCATCTCCTCAGGACTCAGGGTCCCCAGCTCTTCTCCACGGGGGCACTCAGGGGCCCAATTTGGGACGCAGGAGGAGCAGCAGAGGAGCTGGGCTGGCAGGATTCGCCGGGGCTCGTCCGAGTGCTCATCCTGAGTCGAGGCAGGGGTCTGGTCTGGGGACACACACATGCTGCAGCACTGGTCTGGGCTGCAGGCAAAGCCTCTCCAGCCTGTCCCTGCAAGCCTTTGGAAGTTCTCCTGTCCCTGATTTGACCAGGGCTCCGTACTGCAGAGGCAGCCAAGGCCGTGCTCAGCTCGTGAGGAGATGTGCCTGAGCTCCCTCCTCCTGCCCCTCCGCTGTGCCGGTGGCAGCCCCAGCCCTGCCAGCAGCAGCCCGAGCCCCTGGAGCTCACCCCCCGA